CGCCGTTACTAAATATAGAAAACATTTAAGAAATTTACGAGAAGCTTTCAGCAGAATATTACTAAATTTCATAGAAGCAAAGCGGTATAAAGACCTTTGAAAGTTGTATAAAATGATTCGGATTCGCTATCAAATATGGTATCCGTTACTAAAGGAACTAAACCTCAATTAGTTTACAGGATTATACGAAATGTCAAAAAATCATTGTAGAATAAATAACTTTCCGATTCATAAAAAGAACTCGATTCTATTATTAATATATGGTCACCGTTACTACAACAAAAAATCATTAAACGGCTCTTAGAAACAAACACCAATCAAAGGTGTTGTCTTTATTACAAAAAAAAAATAATTTAATTTTTTCGCAGACTCAGTATGACAAATGTTACCAAGCACATCGTGGTATAAACGATTTCGAATATGTATCAATGATACATTTCAAATATTAAAATACGGCTGCGACTTCTTTAGATAAATTAAAGAACAGCAACAAAATATTGCTTGAAAATAACTTTGTTTCAAAAACACCACCGAGTAAAATGTTCCAGACGTGATAGTATGCATTCTGCCTTGACGGCATTTGCATTTTATTTGTTTATGATTTAAATTTTATGTATCGTTATTTTTCTTTATTGTAAAAAAAAACAGTTTGAAAATAAGTCACAGACTCCCTGAAATATGACCACCAGTACTATAAAAGTTAAAACTCTTGAAACAAGTATGAAAGGGAATTAGGCCAAATATGACTGAGAGATCCGGGCATGAATTCCTTTGAGCTTTAAAGAAGTGATGCATATTTGCATATCCGCAATGAACTATAGACATTACCTAAAATAAAAAGAACACTTTCAGATAACGTCCTCTCTAAAAGCGCTCAAAAGAATTTGATTCAATTTGAAAGATAACATAGTACGAAAGATTTGTCTTTTTTATCTACATCAATCCTCCGTCAAATGTCTAAAAACAAAAATCATTCCAATGATTTATTTAAAACTTTCTCCGAGAAATAATCAAACGAATACGTCATAAGACGTTTCAATATTTTGCAAATATTACTTATCCCTTATAAAATATAGATGCCGCTAATAAAAACAGAAATCCTTTTAAAAAAATTCTCAATATAAATTTACAAAATAGACAACAAAACTAATAGCATAACGCCTTAGCTTCGTCCATGTGATATAGATTCGCTACCATACGTACTCAGTTTTGAAAATTGTAAGAACGTTAATGAAATTCAACATACAAATCAACCCTTGTCTTTTCAGTAGTTCTCAAAACATTGATGGAAGTTGTATGGCTGAAGATCATTCCATTCAAATTTTCCAGGCGTTTAAATTTATTTTTTGGCCAATTATGAAAGTTTCGTTATAATAGGTTTGCATATGATTCTTTAATATTTCGCATAATGGATATGTAAATATTCTTAGATCGCTATACCTTTAATTGCATTCATCTGAGGTATAATTTTACTGAACATTGTATATTTTTCCCTCCCTTACAAAAAGACCTGTTACATATACATATCTCAACTTTATATGCTACTCAAATTTATAGTCATTGTTTTAAACTCGAAAAAAACAGCACTATTCTAGTTGTCAGGTCATAGATTTTATGAATAATAATATTCAAACATTTCTCTTTCAATATTTCTGTTCAAGATGTTAATCATTTTCCGAGAGAAGAGCCCGTCGCTGATTGAGGGATTGGACAAGTTGATCCAGGCTCTTGAGGTCCTGAAAAAACCTCGACAGAAGAAGTGGGCCATCATGTGTGCCAGAGCTTGGTAAGTTTGACGTGTATGTGCTTTTCTTAACAAGCTTCATTTCTTTCTGATACGTATTCCCTACTCTATGTACATTATACTGGAGTACCAAATTTAATTTTGAACAGAATTTAAGACTAGCATGACAGTAAATATTTTTTACTGATTGAAAACAATAGCAGTTTGCATATCTTTTAAGCTCATTTAACAGATCAATAAAGAACAAACAATGTTTTGAATAAATATCCACTTAGAACAATCATATTTATTGTTGACAATTTTCTGAAAGGCTTCATCATAATGCTTTGCAGAAGAATGGAGATAATGTGATGTCTATGCAACAAGATTTCATGTTAAATTATATTTATATTTATATATTTATATTCCACACATACCTTTTAACTTTCTGGTCGCCTATGCAAGATGGCATAACATAAACGTTCAAGCAAACC